AAGAAAATTTGATATTCATGACTAACAAATATTCTGATTGTAATTTTTTTTTTTTAAATAATAGTGAGCATGAAGTTGTGTGAAGTCATGTGTATTCAAGGTATAGGGCAAATAGTTGAGTGCTTTTCATTTAATTGTTACATGTATGTTATATGTGTACAGTATATGGATTCTGATGTTGTGATCTTTTCTAATTGTAATGGGCTTGAATTTTTTTTTTCAACCTAACAGGTGCGCATCTTTGTCAACCAGCTGTACGATCCGGCTTACATATCATCAGGCAAAAGTCCAGACTATCGCAGTGATCTCCTGGCCATTAGATTCGCCTCCTTCAACCCTATCCTGGATCCATGGGTGTATATTCTGTGCAGGAAAAACCTATTAACCAAGGGTTGCACACGACTCAAGCGTACTATTAGACTGAGAAAAGGGGATCATAGTCGTGTTTTGGGTTGGATGGATGGTCAACACTCACCTCCGTCATTTGCTCAAAGCAATTGCACAAGTTATGCGTCGTTGCGCACGGCCATCTGTAGAAATGACGTGGGTAAACAGACCACCACGGACACTAAATCTTATGTGGACTTAACCCTTCGCCAGGCATGGGACTTTGATACAGCTCTGGCTGAGTTTCATCCCTTCAGCGTCGAGCAGAACGGTGTTATGGGGTTTGATGAAGATGAAGGAGAATCAAGCCCCACACTCCTTGCCAAGAATGCTGTGGCACTACCAAACACTCAAATATTAGAAAATAAGGCTGAAATAGTAACCTGCACTTTCAGTACACCTAGTTCATGTGTATCAGAAAAGTGCCTGAGACAATGACCTAGGTGCCAATCTAGATTTATTCTTTAAAGCACTGTGATAAAAAAGACTTGTTCTTTTGTCTGTGTTAGTTTACATTCACTAATAATTCTGTGAATTTGCTTTATTTAGGAATCTGGAATGATCCAACTTTAGGATTAAACCATAAGAGGAGGCACTACGTTTAGTCAGATAACATGGGTGTGTTTTATGTGTGGGTATGGATATGTTGCTTCCTTCTACCGTGCTGTGCCATGCTACATGCTGGGTTGTACTTGACTGTGACTTGTAAAACTGTGAATAATTTATTAAAGGTGCAATTTATTTTCATCACATGCAAGAGTATAACTGACCAACAAACACTTGCCATTTTGATACAGCTCTGGCTGACTTTGAGGTCCCTCAATCATTTTTTTATGCAGCATCAAAAAGTTAGTTGTTACAAATTCAAGATAAGCCAATAACTCAAAGTTTGGTGCTTGATAAATATTTATAATAATATCCCAATACTCTGATTCATCTGAATTTGCGACTAACAGTAATGATATTACGAAAGAACCAAGCTTCAATAATCTTGTATTTAGTACTATATTAATGTATTGACATTCTTATGATGCTTATTTCAAAGCCATTAATCATAATCATTTTTGTAAAAGTTCAGATGAACCTGAATACATTCCATTTGAGCAATAGCTGGTAAAAAGGTGAAAAGTGTAATCAGGCCCTTTGTTGTGCTTCTCCAAGTCCACAGTGTTTTCCACATAAAACCAAGGGAAAGCTATTTGTTGACATCATAAGCACTAGTTCTGGTTGTTTTGAGCCAATCACATGATCTGTAAATTTAAATGCATATAAATAATTGCACTGGAAAATTATGCCATATTATGTCATGGCTACTGACTGATGGCACCACAAGAATGAGCACGGTTCAAAGCTCTTCACTAGCAACATGAAAAAAAATTTATTATTTTCTCTACATTTCATCCTATGTCATGAAATGCAGCAGACTGGGAAAGTATGTCCACTTCAGGCAAGATAAAACATCTACAATAACAATCAAATACTTGTTATTAAATGTTGTTACCACACACAAAAAAAGGATGTGACAATACATATTATGGAAATACCAGACTCAGAGACAGGATTAGCTGGCAATACACAGCGATCTTTATTCACAGGTGGGGGAAAAAACCCCAACAACTTTAAATTGTACTTAGGCATTAAAAAAGTAACAAGAGAGACTTGTTTAATCACATTGAATGATTTTCTCAATGCAAAGTGAAATAAACTGCAGACATACAAAGGTTTGGTTTAAGAGAGAAAATAAAACGCAATGGCACTGGACAAGAACAGCTATCTAGTCCATACAACCACAATTAAAATACAGCACAGTAGATCACAATAAAACATGGCCCTTAAAAGGATCCTTTACACCCTCATAGCATCCCACATGTATATGACTTTCTATCATCAGATGAACTTTTTTAGAAAAAACTCCTCTCTGCATATAATGCAACAGTATGGAACGCTTCGAAAATATGAAAGTGAACATGATAGAAGCCCATATAACTGCAGTTGATGAATCAATGTCTTGTCATGCTCATGTGGTTTTTGAAGAGCTCCCATCAGGGATGTGAAGTAACGAATTACAAATACTCACGTTACAGTAATTAAGTAGTTTTTATCAGTAATTGTACTTTTTTGAGTAGTTTAAAAATTGTGTACTTTTACTTTTACTTGAGTACATTTTAAGTGATGTATCTGTACTTTTACTCCGCTATTTTCCTCCGTTTGTGGTCGTTACATGCTTATTTTAATTTTATTTTTATCCATCAATGTGATTTGATAGAGAGTAATAGGTCTCGTGACTTTCGTCAAATCAAATTGTGCATAGAAAACTTTAACCGCCAACTGTTTATCATGGCTGCTGGAAGTGCATTCTTCAAGCATCCATTCAGTCGCATCTTCTTCTAACTTAATATGTTAAGGTAAATTTAGGATTTCTGCTTATGTGAAAATGATTTGTATATATGCTTGCCTATCTACACGGTCTGAAATTTGGTGTGAGGTTGCGGGTATTGCATACAGTTTTAACTCCAGCAAGTGCCACGTTCGGGAAATTCCCACTCACTTATGAAACGTGCGATCTGCGCTGCCTTGACTCTCTCTCGCGTGCGTTCTGCAGCAGTCACTTGGATAAGTCGTTGTTGCTTATCCATTTTATACAATATAAATTTAGCAATTGCACTCGAAAAACACTCAAAAAGCACTTTTTGTTCCGTTCAGTTGTGGATGCTGCTGATTCACCGAGACCGCTGCGACTCAGCAAAGAGACGTGTGTGTGTGTGTGTGTACCTGTTTTTCTATTCTGGTGGGGACTTAAACCTGAATACACACAGACTCATGGGGACTTGTGTCACGGTGGGGACCTAAATTGAGGTCCCCACGGGTAAACAAGCTAATAAATTACACAGAATTAATTTTTTTGAAAATCTAAAAATGCAGAGAGTTTCCTGTAAGGGGTAGGTTTAGATGTAGGGTTGGTGTAGGGCGATAGAAAATATGGTCTGTACAGTAGAAAACCCATTACGCCTTTGGAGAGTCCCCACAAGGATAGCAAACCAGACATGTGTGTGTGTGTGTCTTCCTTTGAAATAGTTTCCCCAGAAATACCTCGCTATTTAATGCATTTTTCCTTACAAATTGTATTATCAGCATAACAATTCGAATAAATGTGTAAAAGGTATGGCATGAATTTTCAAGTTTAGTTATTTTGATTTCCTTATTGTAAAATGCTAAAACTGGCACCGTTTTGGAGAGAAATGGGCTCTCATTTTAACCCATATCATGGTGTGATGCTGAACTATGAGTTTCTAATGGTGTTTGTATTTGCACTGTTCTAAACATTCATATTTTATGTGCAACAACAGCATATGCTGTCTCAGTGGCTTTACACATGATTTTAAATCTATTTTTTCAAACTTTATGATTTAAATGGGGATGATTGTACTGAGAATAACTTTCATCTTTTCTTCAACTGAATACTGTTTCCGTGCTGTTTTGATGTATTTTAAAGAGTTGGCCGTCAAAATTAAAACTGCTGGATGAAAGATATTCTTCATTCTTTATGACAAATAAGATAATGTGAATTACAGAATGTACACATTTTTAAAGTGTATAAATTACAGTGTACAGCGTTTATTTTGAAGGGGTAGAATCCACAGCTCAGTACTCACTACTCAATACTCATGAGTACTTTTAAATAGGCTTCTCTTTTACTCTTACTTAAGTAGTTTTTTGGACAAGTACTTTTAGTTTACTCACACTACATTTTTTGGAAGGAAATGGTACTTTTACTTGAGTATATTTTTTCAGTACTCTTTCCACCGCTGGCTCCCATACATTTGCATTATATGGACTAACATTTTTTCTTTGTGTTCATATGAAGAAAGAAATCATATCTGACACGGCATGAGGGTGAATAAATGAAGATTTTTGGGGTAGACTATCCCTTTACATAGCAAGGCGTCATGCAGAGGCCAGAAACATATTTCAGACAGATTACAGCGTGTTGAATTAATATTGAATTTCAAAGCAAGTTTTTGTGTTTGTTCAATGTGCTGTCTGCAATTAAATTTTTTTTAAAGCAGTGGTTGATTGCGATTTCACTTTTTTAACGTTAGTTTGTGTGTAATGTTGCTGTTTGAGCATAAACAATATCTGCAAAGTTACGAAGCTGAAAGTTCAATGCAAACGGAGATATCATCTTTTAAAATTCTGGCAGTTTAATGCCTACAAAAACGGCTGGTAGGGACTACAACAAGTTACTTCCCGGGTTCATGACGTAACAAACCCAGATAAACCCCGCCCTCGGGAAAAGGCAGCAAAGGGGGCGAGGCCATGCTGCGCTGCTTTAGAGAAGAGGAAGAGAAAACTAGAGGTGCATGTAAAAATCTATTCATATATGAATTGCGATTCTGTCTTCTAACGATTCTAAGTTTCAAAATCAATGTTCTAAAGCAGCGGTTCTTAATACTGTTCCTCGCGTCCCCCTGCTCTGCACACGCTCTGCGTCTCTCTCTCTCTCTCTCTCTCTCTCTCTCTCATTCAGCTCAGCTCCAACAATGAACTGTTCCAATTATACACTTATTTTCACATAGCTGTGAGGAGTGTTAAACATGGACGCACGCGTGTGCAGTTGCCGTACTGTATTAAAGCTTTAATCAGGATAAAACCGTATATTAAAAGCTAACATCAGCAGTAGCATTTACCAGTGGCGGCTTGTTGGTTTTAAAATAGAGGAGGTACACTAATTGAATTGGTCTGGTATCCCTGCCGATTATTATTATTATTATTTGCTTAACCACTTCAAAATGGCTTTTTGGTTGCTTTTAGTCAGAAAACATAAAGAAAACAACACACATACAGCAAGATAATATAATTTCACTTACCTGGCCTATCACTTGAAGCAAACATCCATCCCTTCTTAAAAGTCTGTGTTAAAAGAGAGCTGCCTGTTATGACATTTAATTAAGCTGCGACTGCTGTAGCCTATATCCAGTTAGGCGTGTTTTCGCTTTTTAAAATGTATTTGTATATATACTGTTTGAATGACAGCTTGGTAAATCTGTTGGCGATCAAATATTCAATATCGCTACTCATAAGTACTTGGTACATAATCAGCGCAGCGGGAGACATTCAAACTAATATCACGTAATTTACATCTCTATGATGATTGGTTGATATCAGAAGGGAGGCTAGCCTCCTCTACAAGGTTTCTTTTCTCAACACTCCTCAGCGCTGAAAGTGAACACTCGATGGTGATTGGCAAATTTTTTTTTTACCAACGGAGGCACAAGAGCTCAGCTCTCCCATGGCCTCCCCCTCACCTTCTCTATCATCTAGCGGTTGTAATTACATCAGCAGATTCGGCACATTCATGATAGAAAAGTGGCGCTTTCCAACTTCATTAACAAGTTATGGTATTACACTGTGAAAGATACAAAAAATACACATTCTGA